TTTTGTTTATAATTTTTTTCGAACTTTATACAAACTTGTAAATTGTATTATAAAACTTCTAGTGGGTGTAATGTTGAATTAAAAAGTCAAACAATGATTAATTAGTTTTTAATGTAATATTAAGTTTATAATTTCTAGAAATGAAAAAATTGGTTTTAATTGACATAAATGAGTAAGTTTGAGCTGCTTAGCAGTTTTTATTTGGATGCAAGAAAAAAACATTTTGTAGATTGCCTAATTTTTCGCTTAGTTTATGCAAATTTGTGCTTGTATTATCTTCTCTGAAAAAACTTCCTCTACTCACATGCCATCTAAATTCATTGGGCATATTTGAGTGAGTACGTGCCATGCATCTGTACGTTTTGATTTGGTTTTCCGTACAACATGATTCGAAGGAATTGACATATCTGAGAAGTTATTAACTTGAGGTCGAATAAAGCCCTTGACACATTCGCACTGAAATAAATTACTTTCCGTGGAAAATTCAATTTGTGTGTAAAAATTTGACGTCAGATTTGAGAGATGATAATAGAGTGGTACCTCTTAAGAAAAATTTAATCTGGGGTTATTGCAAGCTAGAGTCACAGCGTGAAAAGAAACATCTAACAATAGCCAACTTGTTCCGATTCTTTTCAAGTGGATGTTCTTTCAAAAACTTTCGATTACAGAATAGCTCCGATTCAATTTGTTAAAGTGTAGTCCGCTTTAATCCTTTTTTAATCCCAGCCCAACATTCGGTCAAGATATTCACAGTAATATATTTTCCTTTCAAACTGCGAAACGAGTAAATGCATGCTATGAGCGAACGCCAATTAAGCTTTTCTAAAATCGACTAAAAAATATTACCAATTCGGTTTTCAACTAAGCGCAAATGAAGGAGGCAAATTCAAAAAATGCGGATTGAATTCCACCTTTTATTTATGAGGAATAAATTAATATAGGCTTGCCTGCTTTGAATTCGTGATGCGGAAGTAATTTTCAAAGATTCATTTGACTTTATTGAAAATTCAAAAAGGGTTCTACGGAATGAGCGGTGGAAAGGGAAGTCGAAATGCTGGGAAGATTAAGATATAAACTGATCATAATATGGGAATTCTCAGACATCAAATGCAGCTTTATTACTTCGAATGTTATGGAAATTGAATTAAATGCAAATATTTACTGCATCTAATGTAATGGGGGACTAGTTTATTGCTGTGTCTATTAATTTAGTCTGTGTAAAACAAACTTAACAATATATTGATTTACTTCTAGTTTTAACCTTTTGGAAAATACAATTTACATTGATATTTAAAAAAAATAATTTTTATGAATCTCACTTTAAGTATTAATAGTATTATTACACTCTTAGCTTTTTATCTACGACTGTTAAATAATAATGTTATTATAGGTGTATCCATAAACACATAATTTAGTTCATGTTAGATTCCGTGGAATATAAAGTTATATTCCACGACTATTCCCTGTATGGCCTATACTACACTACTCCAAAAAATTAAGAGAACAAAAAAATTTCTTAAATTTTTTGGTGATTTTTTAAAGGCTGTAAAAAAATCAAAAATACTTTTTTGATTTTTTTTAAACTGCCTTTTTTTAATTTAATTAGATTAGATTAGACAACAATCAGAAACAATATGCACAATTGTTCCTTTAATTCTTTTGTAAATCTTTGATCAATCGGTCCGAGACAACGGTTTGATGGATCGATTTAAAAATTTACAGAAATATAAGGGATACATTAAGCTGTAAAAACATCTAAAAACATTAGTCTCGTCATAAATATTAGTGGATACGTCGTAAATTTACTAAATCAACGCAAAAAGTTCCTTTTTTCTCTTTTCTTTAAATCAATGTTGAGGGTGAAAAAATTTTTTTTTCAAAAAGTTATCAAAGAATCCTGTAAGACATTTATTCCAGTTTTTGACACTACCCTTATATTTTCTGTCATCCGTTGCTGAGATATCGATGATCAAAGTCAAAACGATCCTTTTTCATTTAAAGTCAGAATCTCAGCGACAAATTGACATAAAAAGAATATGAAAAAAAGCATATTAAAGATGAATGAACAGGCTATCCGGCTTATGCATTGACTTAATTAAAAAAAAATTCCCCACGTCCGTGGACCAAAAGCAAAAATAATTTTTTTTTCTCGCGCTATTACTTAAGATTATATGATAACCGTAGCACAAAAAAAAATTGCCAAAAGATTTTAAAACTACAAACTTCAAAATGGTTTTTTAAATCCAGATACAACTATTTTCGATTAGTTGCAGGCTTTCAAAAATCACCTAAAAATTTACGCAAATTTTTGTTTTTCTAATATTTTGGGGTAGTGTATTTGAACGCAATTTAACATTTTTATTAATTAATTTAAAACGTTCACTTCCAAACATCAACTTTGTCAATACCAAGAATCGAAAATATTTCATAGTCGCAGATAAGTCATAATATTTCACTCGCATTTAATGGCTATAATTTATACACTTGTGTGACTAAAAAACTCGTCTACAATTCGTATTTAAACTTCATCTGCGTGAATAATAGCCATCATTATACAGGGTGTTTCACATAATTTTACGAGGCCTGCGCCTGCAATCAATAATACATATTCCGATATGAACTCGATTTGAAATTTTGAATCTTCTCTAGTTTGTTCACCCTTTTAAAAATTACCACGTTTTTAGTTATTTAGGGATTAAGATAGATAAACTAGAATCATATTCATGCCGTCTCTTGATAGAACAAATGATTGTTTGAAATTGTTTTTGAAAAACTGCAGTTTATGACTGTTAATGAAACAGTGATTAGTTTGACAACTACTGTCAGGAGTTTCCAAAAATTAAATAATTAAATATGTATTTTTTGTGTTTTGTGACTTTTGTATAATCGTATTTGGGTGCGTACATTAGGCGCAAGCGTCGTAAAGTTGTGTGAAACATCCTGTACATATGCTTGTTGAATAATATGCTATTATTTTTGTATACTCAAAAACATAATGTAAATAACAAAAAAAAATGTGAAGACACTATTCTTCCTCCCTAACTAAACCTTTTTCAAAATAAATATATGTATATTAGGCTTCATGTTTTAGGTTCAAACTTTCGAGTTAAATGCTTATTCCAATGTTATATTCCGACATTTCAACAAATTCGACTATAAATTCAAGAAATAACATAGATCCGAGTCGGGTCTGACATTGCAATTTATCAGAAAGCTCTCGACTACCAAACAACATCTACAAAGTTGTTTTTTAAGAAATGAAACTCCCATCAACGACCCAACTTTAAACAGAGACAAGAAATATTTTACACATACTTTAAACCATGTAAGGTTTTCCAAGGCTTTATGTGTAAATCCCACCCGGTCGGAAAGTTTTCAACAAGTTTTCACTAGAAAATAATCTTACAAATTCGATT